AAAAAAAAAAAAAAAAAAGGTTTGTAGAAATTATTTTAGTAGATTTTATTTCTATTCAATTAATTAATTGAAATCACATATCATTTATTTAGAACTTAAGTGACAAGAAATTTCTAATTCCTTCGAGATTGTTAGAAATTTAGGTAATTTTTTTCTATTTTTCCTCGACAAGTTGTTTAATTTCTTTTCTTTCTTTTTTTTTTTTTTTTATAAGAAAACGATGTCGAAGCGATGATACACACATGTCCCAAATAAAACGTTACTTTCTAACGCGTCACAGAATTATACTTTTACCCCATTAATATTCACGACACGACGTCCTTTTACTTTCAGCCTCGAACGACCGAGATTCCCCATTTGTCGATCGATCGAGGACGACTCGTCCACCACGTAACTACGCTAATTATCTCACCGAGATTCCAACTTATAATTTACAATAATAGGAATAATAAAAAGCAATAAGAATTAATGAATAATAATGATTAATCAATCATATCAATTTCCGCATACAGACTACCGGTCGAAAATATTCAAACAATCTTGGTGAAATAAAGATTATATATGTAAGATATTCTATTATTTAATTTCTTTTAACAAACAAATTGTCGATATATGTATGTGAATGAGAAAAAAAATGTAAAATGTTAAAAGCTTTATTAAAAACTTATAACGAAAATATAAAATAAATTCACGGTTACAAAATAAAAATAAAGCAATTTACGTTCGCATTATTTATGCAAAAAGTAATTAATTCTGCATCTCAAAATGTCCATAGTTATTGACAATAAAGAATTGACAATGGTTGAAAATAGAATTTATTATGTGACAAATTGCATTTCTATTTTGATTTATTTCATTTGGCGCAAACAAACTAAAGATAAATATTGTTGATCTATTCTTGCATTATATCGTATAACCTAAATCTGTTCCTTTCTGTTCCTTTCATATTTTCTTCATAATGATCCACGTTTATTTAACATTTTTTTTTTTTCTCTCTCTTATGTTTCGATCCATATAATAGTGACGAAGTTGAGGACACCCTGTATAAGTGTTACGATATGTGCTAATCACTAAATAGGATTAAGAATTAAAGCTAATTTGTTGAGTCATTTACGTCGTCGGATCGTTTTATGTAAAGTTTCAGTGTTGCATAATATTTTCTAATCCAATCCTTTTTTCGGAAAAAAAAAAAAAGAAATAGATAAATAGAAATTTCCTGAAATTAATCAATTTCATAATAAATCTTCGTGAATGATTTGTTTTACATCGTGTAAAAAGATAAAAACTTTAACGGGATAAGAAAATGGATAAAATAAATTCCGACCCATATTCGCAAACAATTTTATGCTTCGATGGTGGAAGCAACTACGAGCAAGTAGGATTACAAATCGTTCATTTTACCGCGTTCATTCTCGTAATTCTCGTCGTTCCATCATCTTGCTTCATTCTACACTATATTGCTACTCGATGCTTTTTTCACGCTCTGTTTCTGATTCGTTACAAACTGTGTACGAATCGTTTGTACATATGCGTCATTAGTTTTTTGCAAGATAGAAGATAAACGACATTTTAATAGGTTTCGGTCAAGCATTGTAGTCCTCTATTGAACGAAAGGAAAAGAAATGTAATCGTTGGAAACAACAAAGAAAAGGCAAGAGAAGCGAGTAATACTTTATAAAACGAAAGAGAGTCGTGGAGAATCGAGGAGAGACAGGGAGAGATAGGGAGAGACAGGGAGAGACAGGGAGAGACAGGAAGAGATAGGGAGAGACAGGGAGAGACAGGGAGAGACAAGGAGAGACAGGGAGAGACAGGAGGAGACAGGGAGAGACAGGGAGAGACAGGGAGAGACAGGAGGAGACAGGGAGAGACAGGGAGAGATAGGGAGATTTACGAATCTCTACAATAATAATTTGATATCACAATTCTTTTTCTTTTATTTTTCTTCCCTTTTTCGCTTTTTTATCTGGAAATCAAAGATCAATACACGAGAATATTATAATTCTTTTCTCGATTGTATAGCAAGAAATTAATTCTAGAATTGTTGGTTTTAAATTCGCCGAAATTTCATTGCACCTTTTCTCATCGTTTAAGATTTCGTTAACCTTGCAACAGGTAATTTCCACGGGACATCTTACGTCATCTCGCTGCACACATGTCGGCCTTGACACACTAATCTGAACAGGGTCAAATTGTCCGAATTTTTTTGAAAATCGAGCCAATAAACAGAACAACCTAACAATATTAGAAAAACCAAAATAATGAAAATTAACAAAATTAAACTTTTGAGATTTTAGAAAGTTAAATAATACTAGATGATTAAAACGATAGATTTCAATAATAACTATTTAAAGATTAAAGATTGAATTTAAAATTAAATACTGTGCGTCATTTTTCATCAGTGACCATTCTGTTCAGCAATTATAATTCTAATAACTTTAATGACATCATTATACTATCATACTTGAAAAGATAATCTCTCAAATAAAAAGCGATCTAACTTATTCTCAACTCTAAAATAATCAAAGACTATTCCTTCAAAATGAACACTTCTGCGCCAACAAAAGGATAAAACAAAGGAACCAAAGAATTCCGTGGAAAACTTTATTCATTAGATCGAGACGTATCTACTTAACACGCAACTGATATCGGCCGCTCATCAACCACGTATTTCCGCGGAAAATATAATTACACCGAGGCCGTAACTCTCCTCAACGATTTCTATTTCGAGTGTTAGGGTCGCCGATTGCGCGTCGCTCATCGCGGTCGTTTATTAAACGCCGTTGCTTTAATTACGCAATCGCCGAGCGTGCAAAATGGATCGAAGGTCATCGACAAACGGCGAAACGAAAGCAACGTTCTCACGTTTGCATCAAACTATACAGATCGAACAAATATCTATAGACTTTAACCCTTTTTTAGAAAGTTTACGTAGAGATTGAGTATTTTTAAAATTGCGAAGAATATTTAATCATGATCCTAACATCCAACATTCATTTTGCCAAACATATCTACGTCATTGACAAATCTCGAAAAAAATTAACAAACTCCATTCTTCGATTAATAACTTCTCCGTTCAAAAATACCAGCTCTCATACTCGATATCGAGTAACACTCGAAGCATCGAACACAACGAAGAATCCATAAATTGCGAAACATCGTGTTGAAAATTCCACACACCACGAAAATATCTTTCTTGCAAAAATAACCTTAGCCAGTTCTCACGGAACTAAGGCGGAAGGTCGAAGGTCTATAGCCGCGCCTATGGTGATTGATCGAAGCTACGATCTGGCAAGTTCGGCGAGTTGTGAACGCGGCTTTAAGGAGGGCGGGAGACGAGGACGCGCGAGAGTGACTGCAAGGCCAAGTCCTGTGACGGTACATTATACCGGCAGAGTGTCGGGCACCTTGACCAGGCGCAAACACGGCTGGTGGCAATGCTCGAAAACCGCGTTGTACACCGACGAGACGTCTCGTTTGAGCGATTGCACTTGGCGAATTCGTGCGTTTTCGATGTTTCACGGCGACGGATAATATTGCCAGCGAGGTGTAGAAAATTTATAGGATATGTTGACTCAACGCTATGACGATCAACTATGATCGCAATATTTTTTTACGAAAATATACGATGATTCGAATTTTTTCTTTTTTGAAAAAGTAAAGAAATAGAAATAATAAGTGATTAAAGAATACGTAAATATCGCTGATAATTTAATGGTCATGTGGCGCTACTATCGCTTGTAGTGTTAATCTACGAAAATGATAATGAAATTGAGAAATGTTGGAGTTGATTATTTTTTAACTTTTTTTACAGTGAACAATTTAACTACTTTAATCCTCTCACGAAGAAAAATCGATGAAAAAAGAAAGAATTAATTCTCGAATCAAAAATATACATCTCTCCTCTTTAAAATAACCATTCAACACGCTCTTCGAGCAAAAAAAAAAAGGGGGAGAGTGAGAAATAACGAAATGCTTTCATAACGAATCGCATGCATTTTGCATCGAAGAGGAATCACCAAAAGGAGAAGAATAAATTACGAGTCTCATTTGAAGGAAAAAAGAAAGACGAAACGAGAGGCAGAGGAGAGAAAATAAAAAGAACTCGAGATGGAAAGAGAAGAGAGAGAAAGTGGACCGACCTACGCCAACAATGAATCAAGTGCGTCCACTTTTGAATATTTAAAAACTATATATATATATATATATTCATCTTTAAAACCGCATCGATCGTACAACCTGATCTTCAAGGGCAAAAGAGCGAAATTGGGAATGGTCGTGTAATCTGTTCACGGGCGTCTAATATCTTCAGCCCGCCAACGACAAAACGCTCGAGGATTCTTTTGTTCCGCGGGATCCGGAATGCGTTATCGCGCCCCTTTCTGCGAACGCGCATTGGAAGGGATGAAAAGTGATGAAAGCGTGGTTACGAGGACAGCCGTGGCGGTTGAGTAATTTCACAAGTGATGGATGAAAATTTGAAGGATGATGGAACACGTGGCGATTGGAATGGAATTTCAATCGTTATTCCCTCTTATTTGGGAGAGGTTTTTCTTATATATTTTTGCTTTCATCTTCTCGTTTATCTTCCAGATAGATGCAACGATATTTTTAAAGAAATGATAGAACGCGTGCGAGATCTATGATTAATATTACGGAGTAAAGTATTATTATTAGATTATAGAATTAGATAGAAGAGAAATCTTGATCTCATTACCTTTTCGTTTCTCGAATTTTGTTTCGTGGAAAATATTATACGTAATTTTCGAGAAAAGAA